TTTCTTTCTTTCTATATTCCATATTAGATATCTACAATTTCCACATCATTATTAATTTGATTAATCCTTTAAGATGCCCTGTAGATTCTTCAATTTTTAAAACTTCTTTCAACTTTACAAACCTTTCTTCCATTCCCGCTTCAGTTCATTTTTATCAGATCTGACAGATTCAGATACCTGCTTTCCTATTTTTTCCAAATACTTTTTTGTAATGTTTCTAGGACAGTTCAGTTGCTTTATTATTACCTTTATTGCCAGAGTACAACATGTATATAATGAGATTGGCTGAGCCTCCCTTTGTGTACCTTTCCAACACAACTCACAGTGAGGACAGAAAACCCTAACCCAGTCCCTAACAAATGCTGTAACAAATGTTCCTTTCCCTCACCTTGTTTTGCAGCTTTTCCAATGGTCACCATTCTTTTATTAGTAAAAAATAAGTGGATTACAAAGATGAAGGTAAAAAAGCAGGTTTTTCTCCACTCCCCTTTTTTTGCTTTCTGTATACCCTTAAGGCTTTAGTTCAATTTGTCTTTCCCTAGTTTAGATGACACAATCCATCTCATGTTACACTTATCTCCTTATTTTATAACTTCCACCAATTATCCTTTCGTTTTGTTGTCAAATAATCAACACTCCCAAGAAAATCTAATTTGTCTGAGAATACTCAATGTTTGAATCAAAGGTTCATGTGGAACTTAGAAGAAAATGTGGTCTCTAAGCAATTATGGTATCTAAACTATTCATTGTTGTTTAGGAATAAATAAGCTCTTAGACTAATCCCCAAAAGATATAAATAAAGACATTGTTTAATGAGTTTCAACATCATTGAATAGCCTTTAGTAGAATATAATAATGGAATTTAGCTTCAACATTACAAAGACATTTTCTTTGTATTACAAAATTAGAAAGTGTTTATTTTCATGGCCTTGGTCGTGATGTGCACTGAAGATGGTGTTTGATTTCATTGTACAAGGTGCAATGACAATAAACTAAACTAAACTAAACATGAACAATATTTATGAAACACCTATTCAATTAATTCCCAAGTAATGTCAAAAGAAGAAAAATTGCATGTTTCAAGTGAAGTAAATAAACAAACAGTGATACGTTAGAGCGACATGTATCATTTTCAAGAACAATTGGATAGAAAAAAAATCAGCAGTAATTATTGTCCAAATAGTAAGCATAGAAACATTATTAAGTGATGTATTGGCCTTGATATAAAAGCTTCATCCTTCTAAGCATCTAATCTTTCAGTATCCAGCATGTACTTATGAGTTATTGGGATATATATAAAAAGGGCAATGGCTTGTAAGGTAATTTAGACTATAGAAGCTAGTTTGCATGGAATAGCATGAGTATATTTGGAATATTTGAATCCATTTGTGGAAAACTGAAAAAATTGGCTAGTAGAAGATGCTGCATGTAGCATTGGTGATCATTGCAATGATGATGAGTTTGGAATATTGAATAAGGCAACTTCAAATACTGGAGGGGGAGTAAAAAGTAAATAAATAAGTAAGATTAATAAATTAAGTGAAGGAAGAAAAACCGTTATATCATGTGCTGCAAAGATGACATAAAGATGTAATACTGTTAGGGATAACATTGGTTACCTAACTTAGTTTGGGTAGAATAATATATAAACTATGTTAGTGAGTTTAAGTGTATGTATCACTTTAAACTGTAAACCAAGTTTTAGGGTGCGGTTGTAGAATCACCATAAGAGGGAGCAAGAGAGCTCACTGTTTGCCCTGGCTTTTACTGGAATGCTGACAATGGATTGATGGTGATAACTGCGTGTTTGCTGAGAGAAGAAAAGGGGTTTGATTTTTTCTTCATATCTCTGACTGCAAAAGAGATATATCACTGGACTGATTGATTGTAAGTTTAATGAACTCTTTTTCGACACTGGACTTTGCAAACTAATAACCCCCGGACTGACTGAACTTAGTGTATGACATATGGACTGTTTTGACTATGCTATAACTCTTGCTGGAATAAAAACTATTTAACTTGCACAGTGTATCTGTCTTACTGAGTGTAAGCTACTACAACGTTATTGTCTCACATACCTGCCTGTCTGCTAGACTGCCGTTGCACGTTCTGCTAGGGTGTATATCCCTAACAAATACGAATGAAGGTGTTCTGATCTTATTCAGTAGAGACTATGAATATTTACAGGAAAATTAAAGTGTAAGCTAATTGGGAATAAAAATGTTTAAAAGTCTGAGAGTATGAATTGAGGTTATCTAGAATATTGTAAGCATTCATGAAAGTAGAAATCCTTATGTGGGTGTGTGCTTATTTTGTTTCGATGAATGGTAACAATGGAAAAACCACAGAAAAATTGTATGAGTCAGGATAAAGAAAATATTTTAATCTGAGGGAATGAGAGAACAGTCCTCCTCCCTTCCAAATGAACTATTTGGAGACTTAAAAATAATTAATGAAAATAGTGATTAGTATCAGCTTTTTAAAAATTTAAGCAGGTCTATTCATTTGTACACATGGTAAAGGAATATATCTAAATCTAAATACATCATTGATTTGATTTTTTTATAATGAAAGAATCAATATATAAGTATGGTGAACATTTCTGAACGTGCAGTACAATTTCTTTGATTAGTTTTAGGAATGGATTTAAGGAAAAATAGACATGGGAGATACAAAATGAAATAAATATGAGTGAAATTACTGCTGTAAGACTACAGATGTTGATAGTGTCAGTGGACAAATATTAAAATATAGAATTGGTTTGCTTATAAAATACCTCTCTGGTTTATTTCATGTTTGTAAAGACTGCATCCCATAACTGGAAGAGCAACAAAATTCAGTGGGAATATGGAAAATATGGGAACTGCATTTTGGCTTTAGGCCATACACAAATTGTGCCGATTAGAGTTTTGCTCTTCTGTCATTTAAAAAAAATGCATCAATATGAGAGAGTAAATGTATTATACATTTGTTGGTTTAGTAAAAAATAATAATTGATAAAATGAATAGATTTGAATTATGGAAATTTTGTGTAATATTCACTTGAAAGTTGCTCAGCGGCATAAATAATATAATTGAAATAAAGGATATCTGAAATAGTTTATCACTGAGCAGAAAATAAAACAAGGATATGTTGTGTCCTCTAGTTTATAGCCTATTTATGGATAAATATGAAAGGAATCCTTTAGTAACCATAGAGATGTCTTTGTTTGGAAGATAAATATATAGAGACTATTTAAGATTTATAGATATATACTGTAGAGGCATAGTGGATGATGTTAGTATAAACTTCTCTATATCCTTTTTCTTGCCTACTTTCTTTGTTTTACTGTTTTCTGCTTTATTTTACCCCAAAAAGGAACAAAGTGACAGGTATAAATGTATCATCCCATTAAGAATAATATTTTAAACACACTTTGAAAAGGAAGGAATAAGGTAGTGTAAAGCTGCCTCTTTGCTGCTAGTATGTATGCTGTATTTTTCCCTGATAGTAGCTGTATAAAAGAATCCTCTCTCCATAACTGTCAATCTAAAGCTTTATGTAAAGATCACATTAAAATATTAAAAGAGTTGTTTCTTGCACCAAATACATGATATGCTCCATAAAACTATTATTTGTCTATCATTATGCAACATTTGAAAGAAGCCAGGTATCAGAGTTGTATTAGAAAAAACTGAATAAATATGTAATACTTACAGGAACAATGCCAGCCTTCTATATCTCAAAACATAAACAAGGAATCATGTTTTTCTCATTTGGATACATGGATCAGGTTTGTTTTTCCTATAAGAGCTGTTCCATGATTTGAAGCAGGGTGGTTTCCAGGGAGAAGAGAGAGCAAAGAAAAGTGAAGAAGTAATTATATGAGGAAATAATTATTTTTCCTAAAATTGAAAATGGTCATTTCCTGTATAATGATGAATGTAAATTTCAAAATGTAAACTTTCTGAGATCCATTTTCAAGTAGCAATTGGAAAGTGGGTTTCCCCAATTTGACAACACACTGGAAGAAAACATGGTAAGAAAGTGAGACAAGCCCTAAAGCTGAACCAAATGTTTACAAGGCTTCTTTTAGATTTTTTTTTTCATCAGGACAAGGCTGATTTGAAGAACTTTAAACTTCATTTTTGTCAACAGCTGCCACCATCCCAGCTGCTGAATGTCTGGAGTTTTGCATAAGCACAAGGCACCCAACCTGTAGTTCCACCATCCTATATCCCATGGTCACTTTATGTTCCCTTTGCAATCCCTGCAATCACTTTATAACTATGGCATTTGCTTAATGACTGCAACAAAAAATGTCATAAAATCATGTGAATGACCAACTTTATGATCGTTATAACTTATGACCATAATTGGCAGGTTCCATTAAGGTCATAAGTCAAGGATCTTACTGTACATGTCCCTACTTCCTTATACCTATGCAAGACTACTTCATTAAGACAAAAACAAAACAAAACAAAAAAACCCAAAACAAATGTGGTTGTGGTTATCCTGCAGGTGCGGATGAAAGACTTGGATACTAAAGAAGAATTAGGATTTTATCCTTTAAACCGATGGCTCTTTGAAGAAGATGGGTCAGAAACTGTGACGGAATTAGCAGTAGTCAGACCAAATGAAGCTCCTCTCAAAGGTATGTTGCTAGACAACCATAGTATAGCTCTTTCTTTCAAACTTGGGAATGAGGAACCATGACATCAAGGACAACTCTTAGGTGTTGAACGCTACAGATAACTGCATTGCAGTCATCCTGATGGTTGCTGGGAGAATACTCCTCCAAACAGGCAGCTTCAATGATAAAAATCTGTATGCTATTTTAGAGAGGGATGGGAAAAAAAGTAAGTGATGAAACTGATGAAAGATGAACATATGTGAGAAGGAATAGTAGCACAGATGAGGCCAGGAAGAAATGCAGGCACGGGAAGAAGTTTGTAGGGAGGCCAAAAATGATATATCAGATAGGGATGAAAAATAAAATAACTGGGGGAATAAATTGGTGACATAGCATGTCCTTTTCAGGATTGCACATCAAAGTATATATTTGAGAAAGTATGTCAAAAAGTATGTATTTCATACAATCTCTTTTTTGGTAATTGCTATAGATGAAGAAGATGCTTCAGTTTCTGAGAGTGAAATGTAGTAGTTAAGTTGCTAGCCTAGAAATCACCTTAGGCATGAAAGCTGGCTGGGTAACTTTGTGCCAGTCATTTACTCTAGCCTAATCTATCTCACACACTTGTGTTAAAAAACAGGAGTAGGAAGGAGTGTTATGTATATTTATTGCCTTGAATTACTTATCTAATAAAAAAGAAAGAAAATAGTTGGCATGACGGTTTTAAGCTGTTCTCCAGTCACATGTTACTGATCATGTGATATTACATTTATGCATGATTTTTGGACAATTCCATTTCTACAACGTATTGATTTTTTGAAAAGAAAAACCTGAAAGTTGTCTTTATGGGCAAAAATCTTTAATTTTTTATTATTTTTCGAAACCATTTAAGTTAAACAAGAGTTTAATTTCATTGATTATTTATTAGGATTTAGATGTCAATGTAATGATACTTACTTAGAAATGAGTGAATTTTTAATTGCATGTGTTGCAAGATAAACTAAACTAGTTAGTTTAAATCCAGAAGATCTTATTTAACTAGATTTGAATGGGACTATACAATTTTCGCCCCAAAATGCCTAATGTAAAAATTTCATTACATTCCATGAAAGTAAAATGCAGATGTAATTAAGACCCCTTGGTTTCAGATTAAGTGTTGCTAAACTTTCTAGAATTCTTTGAAAAAGAGAGTTACATAGATGATCAAACACTAACATTTCCTTCCAAGACTAACTGGGAGACAAATAGATTGGCAAAACTGGTTGCTTGAAGCATAACATCTATATACTGTTTGTTCAGTTATTATTATAAAAAGAGAGATAATTTTGTCCTGTTGCTTAAAGTACTCATTCATAACTATGAGTCCTCATTCAATCATATTTCAAAATGATTTTTCTAACATAATAACTAATATCAGTGTTGATCAAAGTGAAAGATCGATCCCCTTCCTTATACTAGTTTAATTGGCGGTAATGATCTTATAGGTTCAGAAGGAAAGCAGATAATTTTGAACAAACTGCATCTTTTTTCATGAAAATCAATGCAATGAGGATTCTAATTAAAAGTCATGTTATTAATTCTATAAACAATATAAAAGGAAATAAAAATTGTTTCTCAGTTTATATAAGACATATATCATTTTGAATTATACACCTGAATCATTATAACATGATTAATGTGAAAATAAAAAAATCTGTCCCACCAAACAAGAAGCTTTGGTTTAACACTACTGATTTTTCAATAATAAGGTCTCTTATACATTTGTATCATATGTTCAAAATTAGATCTAAAATAGCTTCTACTTCTATTATAATAAATGGTAAATTGCAACATGTTTTTAAAAAAGACAGATGTCATAACTATGTGTATGTTTGTTCAAGAATCTTAGAAATATCATTAAGGCTGTAATTTTATCTAAATATACCTAGAAAGAAATGTTGAACACTTGGATTTTCTGAACAGAAATTATAGAATTGTATTATCAAGCAGGTGGGATATTCAATCTGGTACTCAAACTTGTAGAGCTGAATCGTGTTACAAATTAAATCTCATCTCCCAGATTTCAGCTAGGTAGCTATTTTCTTTTTGCTTAAAAAATAGAATAAAAAGGTACCTAGCTTCTAACAATTATATATCAGTTATGGCATAACAGAATCACTTAATCAGATGAAGGAAATGTACTTACAAATCTCTTTCTGGCCCTGCTATATTTTTCTTTATTTCATGTAAGAATGAGTAGCTTTTTTTTCTTTTTTACTTTAAACAACCTTCTTCCTAGTTAAGGGCCACAGGAAATCTGGCTGATAAAATTATAGGTAGTATTTTCAGGCTCTTTTTTGAACTTTTAGGGAGCTGAAAATTAAAAATGGTCATAGTGCTTCAACGTGCAAGCTTTTAAGGCATTCCTGCCCATTAAATCCCATTAGAACTAGGAAAAATTAGTTTATAGACCATAGAATAATAGAATTAGAAGGGACTTTGGAGATCTTCTAGTCCAACCTTCTGCTCAAGCAGAAGACCCTATACCATTTAAGACAAATCTTGAGTTTTAAAGGGGACAATACAAAGCTTAAGATGTCAGTTTTGCTACTTAAATTTTCTACCTACCTATCCATACAAAAGAAAAAAAAAGATTAAAATTGTTCCCAGTCAGATTAGTGTTTCTTTAGCTCTTTTTCCTCAGGATCCTTTTTTAAAAATTATGGATTATATTTATCACTACTTCTCATATTACAAATTAAAATTGTTGCATTCACTCCTGCTGCTATTGCTTCTCACTACTATTTAATGGTATTTTAATATTGTATTATTTTTCAACATTGGTTAGGAAATAATTTTCATTTCAAAGACCCCAAGGGTATCTTCGGGGACAGTGAAACAATGTCTAGAGAATTTTGAGAAGTTTCAATTGGACCTGTAGATCACAAGTAGTCTGTGGGATCATAGATTCCCATTAAATCCACCATTAGTTGCTAATCTTCAAAATTTCAATTTTCTTGCAGATACTTGCATAGAGGATAACATTAATTTATAACTATACTGTGACTCTTATTTTGATATCATATTTCTTTGTGCTCTCATACTCTGGCATCTTTCTGTGAAACAATGTCTACTGATGATATCCATGAAGTATGCCTTCTTTGTCATGCCACATCCTTTGGAACAGCCTTGTCCTCTTCCCTAATATTTGGACATTCCCCTCCCCCATACACAAGCATTCCAGAAGATCTTGAAGCCTGACTTTTCTTTCAGGAGTCAGAAGGTTATTTTGGAGTCTATTTTTTGTGTTAGTTTTTATGCTGCAAGACAGTTTGTGAGGAGCCTTGGTCATTTTTAATTATGTCTTGCCTTATGATGTTTACATTATGTTATTTTATGCATCCATTTTGTTTTAAACACACACATCATCATCATTTGGTTAAGATGGGATTCCATGTTAAGTAAATAAATACAGAATAACAATGGAAAAAGAGAAGAATTTATGAATGACTGATTCATCAACAACAAGCACACTACGCTATTATCATCTGTATCAGGGTTGATTTTTAATAGCAGTTGGCTTCAGACACTATGCCCATAATGGGATGAACCTAACACAAAGTTAGTGGATTCAATAAAAATATTGAGTTTTACCCAACAAACAATTCATGGCTTAACACAATGTATGAATCAATTGTTTGTGTTAGATCTTTTTCACCAACTTGGAAATGTATGCTATGATTTATTGTATATGCTGATTTGAAATATGAATATGCATAACATTTTAATTCTGATATCTTAGTCTTCAAAGCAGATAGTGCTTTATAATGTGATGTACATTTTCTCTGTTATCTTCTATTGGAATAGAAAAGGATGACTGAGCTGTTGAAAATTCAGATTGTTGAATTGTTCTCTAAACATGCATACCAATTTTATTTCACTATACCAATGCTCAAGGGAGATACTTTGCTACAAGCAAAGGCACAGCAAAAGAAAGGTTTTGAGGGATTTTTCTTCTTTTAATTTTTAATTGTTTAAAGTTTGTCAAATATTTTAAAGTGTTACATTTGCCTGGGGTCTTTTTAGATCTAGTAACTCAGAATTTAATATACAGTTTTAATCTGTACATGAATGTATAGCATGCTGGCCAAAGAATTCTGGGAATTGAAGTCTATATACCTTAACGTTGCCAAGGCTGAGAACCACTGTTCAGATTTATGTCTTAGCATTAAGTACATTTAGTCTATGTAAGAATATGTGAGTGATTGTTCTATTTCTTTACATGGCTTCTTTTCATATGTTCTTTCATCTGATGTTCTATTACAGAAATTACTTACTCAATCAGTGTTTATACAGGAACATTACCTGCATCTGAAACAGATGCAAATATCTTTATTACGCTATTTGGAATGAATGGAGACTCTTACAAAAGACAACTGAAGCATTCAAAGTCATGTCCACAGTTTGAAAAGGGTCAGGTAAGTATGGAATGCATGTAATTTTGCTTCAGAAATTTTGTAGATATTTTATTGGAATGTAGAACAGCCGCGTGCCAAAACAAACCAATTTAGTTACAAGAGAAAAGTATTACAGCCTCAAATCCTGTCACTCGTAGCATTATGTGAAAATCTGAAAAATTCTGAAGTGAATCCTGAATGTCTGAATACTGGTCTCCACAATTATCCCTCATTGCCAAAATGAAGGAAACAAAGACCACTTCCTACCACTCACAAAACATGTGTAATGCCATATATTAATAGAAAATCAGGACAATAGAATAGAAATAGAATAGAATAGAACACTTTATTGGCCAAGTGTGATCGGACATACAAGGAATTTGTCTTGGTGTAAATACTCTCAGTATACATAAAGAAAAGATACATTCGTTAAGAATCAAGAATCATAACGTACAACACTTAATGATAGTCATAGGGTACAATCAAATCATACTAGGAATCATTACTAGCTTAATCATTACTAAATCATTACTAGCTTAAGCTGTCACAAGTAATTAGTTATCTCACTCAATCGTCCAAGAACTAGAATCCTGGATAAAAGGGTATTTGAGAAAGTATTTAATATTATGAAAACAATCTGTTAATGTTCATGCATTCAACAACAAAAGATTTAGTAGCCATCAAACTGTAAAACTCAAGATCTTTTCCAGACAGATTTGCTTTCAATGAAAACTGATTTCTGGCTGTTTTCAATGCACATTAGTTCATTGCATTTACAAAAGCACCTGTAGTACAAATTCCTAAGTCATGAAATCTTCATTATCATTTTAAAAAGCTTAGGTCATTAAAATGCTTTATAGTAAAAAGAACTGTTAATTCTTTGAAAAAGTCTCGGTGCAAGTAACTTTTTGTAGCAATTCTAATGAAACAACTGTTGTTGAGGAGAAGAGACGTACCCGTATTACACTGCTATGGCTTTTAGTTAGTATTGGTCTACCTATCAACACAGGATGCCATGATTGTTATATCAGTTTCCTAAATTATGACCAGCAAAGCCTAAATGCTAAGCAGGAGAGATTCTGATTAACAAATATAATGAGATACCTGCGTTCAGTCTAATCTATCCCTTTTCTGGTCACACCAAATCTAATTAACACAACATCCTGCTGTTTGATTACAGGTCTCTGGTAATTAAAAATTAATGTAAAATTAGCTAAGCAATTGATTTACTTACCCAAGAGATTTCTGGAATGTCTTATAGTGAAGGATTCTAAGAGGGCATTTAAACACTTTTTCAGATGCTAATTTTTATCTATCCCCTAGGACAGGGCTGTCAAACTTCTGGCCAACAGGCTGGCTGCGTCATGTGTTGGCCATACTTATGCCCAGTTTAGCAAAATGGGGGGAAAGTCCTGATACATGATGTGATACCATCATGATGACGTGAGTTTGACACCCCTGCCCTAGGATAATGGTCGTGTTTGCAAACTATTATTGATCCAATGCCAATGTCCAAACTTCCATTCATCTTTGCAAAAATCATTTTCATTTCCTTCCCTTATTTTATAGGTGTAGATAGTTCTCAATGAACAACTATTCATTAATCAACCAAAATGGCACTGAATGAGGAGGACTTATGATGGACCTTCATAGGTGCATCTACTTCAGTCTCTCTGTGATTATATGATCACTATTCAGACACCAGTGAAAGTTATTTGATAAAAGAAAACCAGAATGTAATTATATCATAGCAAACAAATCTGGTTTCTATCATTTGAGCTATCTTTGGAGTTATCTGCTTTTTTGGTTTAATAGGTTAAATGAATAGGAAATGTTCTTTGCATCTAGTTGAAGCAAAATTTAAATCAGAAAATTTAAAGAATTGCTTTTGTCTTTCAGATACTAGCATTTCCACAAAGGGATAAAAATGGCACAACATAAAAGTTCATTTGAGTAAATTGTGAAAACTAAAATTTCCTCCATAATGTGGAGTATCAGCTGATAACAAAGTGTCTCTTGGACAACTGTTTCCCAAATCTATGTTACTGTGATATAGGATATGCTTAATAAGGGATCTGAAACTGGAAAAGAATAAATAAAAGGAAGATTAATATTGGTAGAATTAATATTATGCATGAGTGTATATACTGGCACAACAGGATTTACAATTTCCATAACAAACTCAAAAATGCTAAAATGTTCCAAGTTATTTTCAATATGTTTTTTCATGCCTGTTCCCTATTTTGGTCTTTTTCATATACTTGCTCATTAAGGATAGCATTTGCCATGGTAACTGTTTTGTATGATAATAACTAAATATATAAAGGTAAAAATATAAGTTATTCTTTTTTCCCAAGAAAAATGCAATATTTCCTGAAGAGTATTGTAATCATATTAATATTTAGATTTTAAAGGATCTATAAATCTGATTTTTAAAAAGTTAAAATATTTTCAATTTCTTTTCTTATAGTTTTATTTAATTTGTCTCAATCTACTACTAAAATTATTCATTGAAGAAAAGTCTCCTTTGAATCAAACTTAATTTGTTGTGACAACATTGATATATTCATGCTACTGGGAACAGGGAAGCATTTTACATTGCCTTTTCTTCAGTTTTTAAAAAGTCCTGGATTATGGTGGTAATCTAGATATTAACTGGGTCTATCATTTGCTTAGCTTTTTTAGACATCAGTCAGGGTTGTTTCAATGGTGCCAAGCTGCTTATTATCCATCTACTCCTTTTCTTTCTCAAATAATATGCATTCATTCTCTAACAGTTTTTCCTAATGTTCTAAATGTGACTTTAAATTTTCGAAGAAGGCAATATATTGGGTGGTCAGGGTTTGCTCTTGATACCTGGGGCATGTTATATTTTTCATGGATTAGCCACCCAAAATAGCAGAAAATCCAGATTCTGTTTTTCATAAAATTGTGAAATTGAGTGCATTGAAAGCATTCAAATGTTCCTTTAAAAGAGAAATACATAAAACTCTGGCACTGCTTCTGGACTTAGACTATACAGTTGGTTCAGCTACTCTTTCATCAATTGGTTCAGTTAATTCACCATTCCCTTGTTGATGGTCTCCTAGAGGCTTGGCAATTGCCCTGGAAATCATGGAAATCACCCTGGAATAGTATTTATCCCTTTTCAAAGATCCCCACTCAAGCACCAGATGGCCAGCTGGAGCCATTGCGGCTCTGGATGGACCAGGGCCCCCTGGCTGAAGGAGATCTTGTTGGGAGGAATCCTCCAAGGTCAACCACCAACAAATTCACCAGATCCACAAACCGGGGCCATCTGGGTCAATGGGGATCCAGGAGTAAAATCTCCACCCTCTCCGCTGGCATCTTCCTGATCACAGCAGGAATGAGAGGAAGAGGCGAAGATACTTTATAGTTATGCTTATATAATAAGTTTTTGATTGAATTTCTCCTTTATAAAGCATCTTGTTATTTCATAAATTTAATCAGATTTATAAAAGTCATGTTTTTTAATAGATGTATTTAAGCTGGTTTGGGTGCACCAGGGTGAAGTCACATTGTCTTGTTTCATTGAGATGCTGCAACAAGATTCATCATGCTCAAGGCAAAGGTTTTACTGAGACAGAGAAACTTATTTCTACAAGCGAATACAGTAACTGTCCATTAAAAAGTTCCTAGCTAATTTTTTGTAGAAAAAGAAGTGTAACACATTTCAAACAAATCCTAATAGACTTGGGAGTTATTATACTATTCCATACCACAAAATGATTTTAAAAGAGAGAGATTCTTGCTTCTTTTGTTTCTTTATAATATGGTTATTGCAAGATATGGTGTTTTTTTTTTTAAAGTCAAGTTAGAAACCATAGATGGAGCTTTGATTGCATTGCTGAGGCTGCGATTTTGCCTTTTGGCCTCCCCTGTGGACACCCATTCTGTACAATCCTAAAATATATCCCCTAACATGACTGGTTTGATTTTGAAGTTAAACGTTAAACCATGTGCAAGTCTGAAGATAAATTATCTCATATTAAGGCCTTCAGCTTCTGCCACTATCAAATGATTATTATTCTACTAGCAAAAGGTTTCTCATTCATGCTTTGGTGATTTTTCTTCCCAGATGTTGACATATCTTTTATAATATGCCATATCTTATATTTGGAAGCCCCTCTGCATGGATATTGATTGGAGTCATCACATTTTTATTGTTGCTTAATTTTGATGTATTGCTATGTCATAATTTTATGGTTTCCTATGCACTCTCTTAGTGGTTTTCAAAAGAATATCAGAAAAATGTGTATAAATAAATAAACATATTTAAATAATTGGATGTTATAATTATATTTCTATTAATATGTTTTTTTCCTAATTACCTATTAATAACTCCCTTCACTCCCATCCAAAAATAGATAAGTACCTTTGCTATCCAAGCAGTTGATCTTGGAATGTTAAGTTCAGTGTTGGTGGAACACAATAACTCTGGTTATGGAGCTGGATGGTACCTTGACCAAATTTTGATACAAGAATTGGGGAAGAGCGATAGTCAGTATGTATTCTCATGCCAGCAATGGTTGGACAGTAGTGTTGGTGACGGAAAGATGAAACAAGAACTGCAGCTTCTTGGGAAAACCAATAAAGAAAGTCTGACAAAAGATGTTCATGGTAAGATATACAATAAAATGCTTTCAAGCTTCTATTTTGATGCATCTTTGTCTTTCCTGGTTGGATCAACTGAGAATAAAGACCGGTGTATCAGAACAATATCTTTAATGCAAACTGTATATTCTTGGCATTTTGTAAAGCTGGGTAATGCAGTTATAATATTTAAATAAAAATAGATAAGCACATGGAGAGATTAAAAAGTATAATCAATGTTTCAAATGAGATGTGGGGATTGAATGCACCATGGAGAGAGAAAAGAAAATATAGAATTCTCCATGCATGAGACCTAAGGCTGTTGGATTTGAGGCTATTTCCTCACCTGTTCTGGCTGAGTTTTCTTTCTTTCCCCCAGTCACATTTGGGGAATAGTGCTTTAAGTTTTGATTGATTGAAATGATCATACTACTACTCCAAAGACAAATATTAATTCAATATTCTTATTCCTTTTTAGAAGGAATAAATTCTTTGGAACATATACTCAAAAATACATTGTATTAAATGCTCAAAAATCATTATATTTGTTTGTCCCAAAGGTGCTTTTTTTTCAAGAGGCAACTGGACTTTCTGCTGAAGAAGCTAGTCTTGGATGAGAAGTGAAACATCTTCAAAGAAAAACAAGAAAGTCCAGTTGTCTTTTGAAAAAAGCACCTTTGGGACAACCATGACCTGAATGACTGAGAATCTCTATAGACATTTTATTTGTTTCTTTTGCATTGGTATACCAATACATATTCATATTTGAAATACTGTTTTAATTGTGATTAGCTAAAACAAGGAGTGTTGCAAATAAAAGAATTTAACTAGCCAGAGATATAGTCTGCTAGAATGTTTTCATTGGCTATGTGCTCAGAAAAGCAGCAGCTGATTAATTTGGTTTCGTTAAATTTCTACTTGGAGAAAATCTTTAATTCAAAGTGAGGCAATTTTGAATTCAGGCAAGGTGCCATTCATAAACATAACATTGTATTTATATTCAGAGGGCACAGCAAGAAGAGTTTCCATGACAAAGTCTTCTGTTAGTAACTAAATTCTAACTTTGAATTAAAAGTTACTATAAAATGAAAATAGTGTCTTCCTCAGAAACTTTTGTGAGGGAAAAAAAAGTCCCAGGACTACTAAATAATTTATCTATGAGTGTAATATAAATTATACTATTGTATGACTCTACAAGGCAATGTAATTAAACTCTCAATTATTCCATCTACCTTGTATGTGTGAAACTTCTAAATTATACTACAGATCTGATAAACAATTATGCATTTTTTACATGTCAGATGTAGCATCGCAAACAAATTATTTCTTGTTGATTTCTAGGGACTTGGGATGTCACTGTTATAACTAGGGAAATGTCAGACAATTACGGCAACTCTAAATTAATTCTGACAGTATGTGATGACAAAGGTACATCAGCTGCAGTCTTCATTCCCAAAGGATCGTTTAAAAGGGCTAAAACTTACCAGACATCTTTGGCGCTAGATAAGAAGTTTAATAAGATTTGCAAAATTCGCTTGGAAATAGAAGACTCAGACAGAGAAACATGGCATTGTCATGAGGTAAAATTTAATTATGCATTAATACATACTTTTACATAAATGTTCTTTAATCTTATAATTCACAAATCTATCCATAGACATACATGATGATCTGGAGTTAGCCATACATAAATGGGTTTTTAATAATTCCATGTCACAACAAATCTCATTGATTTCAGTAAAACTCTAAATATTAATTCTTGATTCAACACATTATGATATAGTTTCCATACTATTGCAGGAAATGGAAAACAACACTGTTTGGAAGAAAATACATTTTATTTAGATCCTGCTCACTTAGCTTATTATTTTATTTTCTATAGGTGAAGCTTCAAAATAAAAAGAATAAGGAAACTTTAGAAATACCTTGTTGGCGAGATTTTCCAGATAATAAAGGATGCACAGTGGCCGAATTTCCCATTCTGATAACTGGCACCCGGTTTTTAACAGGTTTGTTACTTATGAAACAGTCAAAACAATCTCCACAAAAGCTTACAAAGGACATTTGCCTCCTTTGTGGAGTTGAAAAGTCACACAAAAAGGAAAAAGGAATGAAAAGAATATTGTAAGCCATCTTAGGCATCAATTCTTAAAATTACATACTAGATGTTGTGGCTGATGCCAAATAACAGTTAAGAAAGAAGAGTAAATGTTATATTCTACTTTTAGTTACAGGTTCTGCTTTTAGGGGAGAAAGTGCTCCAATCATTTTTTTTACTAGACTGTTTGAATCATGGTTCCTTCTTTGTGTAATGCCAACACTAACAGTAATTGCCAGCATTCTTGCCATAGGCAAAGCTATTTTTCTCCAAGGAAAAAAAAGGACGGGAGAACAGAAAGACTACCAGGCTGCTGTTATAACTGGACTATTTTTTTTATTGTGATTTAGATTCTTTGTTGTGTTCTCTGTTGTGACTTGTTCTTATATTGTGTTGTTTAGAATGGATTTCCATTGTTGTAAGCCAATCTAAGTGCTGGATAAACAATTGACAGGGCAGGACATAATTTTCATTAAAAGTTGTCTTGTGAACAAAGGGGATATGAGTTGTTTTTTGCTTTGGAGGCCTTGTCAGCAATTCCAATTTCCTCAATGACACTTACATGTATATGTCATACATGTGCTGAAGCTTTTCCCTGTATATTTAGAACAGGGGTCTCCAACCTTGGAAACTTTAAGACTGGTGGGGAACTCTGGGAGTTGAAGTCCACAAGTCTTAAAGTTGCCAAGGCTGGAAACCCCTGTTTTAGAAAATGAAAGGCAGGTTGTTTTGTGAGTCAAAAGTTGATTTGCATGAATCTTTATCAAAGCAAAGCCTAGCTTTGTATAATCCTGGCACATTTCCTGATTACTAAGAGAACTTAGCAATTCAGTGAAAGAAACTATAAACTGTAATATAATTACTAGCATTTAATTTGATGGGGATTCCTCCAGTGACAGTCAGTAATACCTTTAATTCCATAATTAAATTCCATAATTCCAGTTTTATGTACAAAAAAGGACTAGCTTGTCTCTTCCAGTCATTTTAGCACATTGAAATCTATCCATATAGATCAACATGCTTTAAGGAACATTTGAAAAATCTAGATATATACAGTCCAGAAAACAGACAATTTAAATGATACTATTTTTTGCAGTATATAAAGGACTCTTATTCAGACGTTGGTACAAACTGTTCTCCAGAATAGCTGCTCCAGAAAGCAGGATTAGAACTGATTGACAGAACTGATTGAGAGCAACTCCAAATCTGGACATGAAATTTAGGATAAGCATTTGACAATGGAACATCAGGAACAGATGTGTTCAACTTTGCCAGTTGGATTTAAGAAGAATAATCAGTTCTATAAGAAATACTGTACAGTATCTATCCTGTAGTACAGATCCATATATTCAGCAAGAAGATGACCAACATAGCTTTCAAAATCTCTTTCACATATATGATCTGTTTTTACTATCGGTAGCTCAAGATTGAATTGTGGAGTTCCTGGGGCTTTCTGAGTCTGGTTGTTTGATTGCAGATATTTCATGTATCCAACTAGGTTACATCAGCATGTAACACTTTAATTTCTTGTTTGCTGCTGTAGTTAAACTTGTTTTAATAATTTAATTAGCTGTTTCTCTGAGTGCTTTAATTAACAACTAGTAATAAACATACTTGTTCCTTTATAATATATACAGGATACATTATAATATGTCCTTTTATATATTATATACTTATATATACATTATATTTATAACATATGCTTATTAACTGACTGGGTTTTGTTTTCTTTGTTTTTTGGTCCTTAGTTAAACAATATATTCTATATATCTCAACGGATTCAGCCCCAAAGTCAGGTACAAACTCTGATGTGTATGTCACTTTAAAAGGGACTATGGGAGACACAGGCCGGAGAAAATTATTCCGGAATGGGCTGGAATGCTTTTCTGAAGGAAAGGTAAGCTTTTCAAATAAATAACCAAAAAAGGATATGTATGTATGATTTGTCCTAATTAGAGAGAGATATAATAGTGCTCTTTACTGGACATCTAGGATACAATGCTAATTCAGAATATGATGGAGCATGATGATGGAGATGGAACAAGGGAGATGGTCTTGAGGCAAATATCAGAAGAGATTACAAAAACAAAACATTCTTTGGATTATAATATTATAAATTATAATATAAGACAAGGTCTTTTAAGAACAGGTCTATGGTTAGCATATCAATCAAAGCGAATAAAAGGTCTTCCTGCCTTTTGTCTCAGTCCATAATATTAGAAAGAATCATTTCCATATTCTTCTCCAAACTGCTTATTTATTTCTTCTGAAAGAGCATATTCCCATCTGGAGAAGGAATACTTACTACTCATTGCTGTCTTTTTTGTGATCAGTTCCAATTAATTATCCTTTACCTTGTCTATTACTCACTGCAAGCAGTCATTCAGAGGTGTCATACCATTTCTTGAAGATGTCCTAGAGAAATAAATCTTGGTGTCAGAAATATACCCATGTTAAGGATTGCAGCTGATACGGTAGGAACTACTTTCCAAGCTAGATATGGTGATAATGTAAACACACAGCTGCTAGGTTTCAAGGCCACCAAGTTCTGCACCAAACACTAGTTATCTTGGAAGACAGAAGAAAGAAGTTTCAACTCTTCAGAACATGTAAAATATCTCCACTAAAATATCTTTGTATTACATTGGCTGGTCATTTCTAGTGCATAACTTAATCCTAATTTATTACTGCAAGGACATGCCTCCTATTTCCAAATCTTTCTGAAAATATGGGAAACTACCATAATGAAACCTTGTGGGAAGTCAAGAAGAACCAATGGAGTAACACCTCTACTGTTGCTAATGAAGCATATATGAGCCATCAGGCCAACCAGACTTTCAGAGCTCACGATGAACTCACTTGAAAATGAGTCAATATATTTTGCTTTCTCCATGACTAGTAAATTTAGGGCTATCATCATTGCTAAAATCCAAATGATCATTTGATGTCACTAAAATGGTACCGTGTTTTGAATCTCCTTCCTACCACCTAATGGTTGCTTGGAATCTTGGAGCCCCCGATATATTAAACCTAGTTAAATTTGTTGATGAGAACATTGAAATATAAAATTAATTTCATTTCATTTATTTAGCACATTCCTATGCAGCCACAATAATCTTTCCCCCTTACATAGAATAAGTAATTCATGTTACATTGCAGCAAATATTAACACAGCATATCCTAGAAATATTATACACCCAACAGAAATTTTGCACCTCAGTAACAAGCAATCTGATTGCCTATCAATACCTTATTGTAGTTGGGGAATAATCAATGGGCATCTGCAGAACACCATCTTTCCTTTAAATGCTGTGGTCAATTTTAAACTTGAATTTAAACTGGCCAGATCTTCAAAAAATGTGGGAGAGAGATAACAAATTGATGCTAAATACATTATTTGATTTTTAAGTGTAGTCCACATTTAAATTACATTAGCAACAATTAGGTTGCTAATTATAGATTGCACAAATTGATTGTAATGAGGCTGATAAAATAAAAGTTTATAAATTCTATGGAAATTGTTCATATAGCTAAATCAGTGTGTTACAGAGCTATGCAGAGAAGAATTTTGTTACAAATGTAATCTAAAGTTGGCAGCACCCCTAGAACATCAGGAAAGGTGGCGCTGGCATGCAGATTAATGGTTGTCAAATAAGAATAAAGCATTGAGCTTCACTTTCCTGTTGCTTTTATATGCTTGACAGTTTTATAGTGGCTGTATCAATCTCATTCTTCTGTTTATTAAGTCCTTGGTACGCTGACTGTGGTCTTTCTAGATGGATGTTTTTCCCATAGAAGCAGTAGATATTGGAACACTGTATCAGCTTATTGTGGAAAAAGGAAAAGGCTCTGCTTGGCACCTCCAGAAGGTTATGGTGAAAGAACCACAATGTGAAGGAAAAGAGACACTCTTTATGACACAGACTTGGCTGAAAGACACACTTGACAAGAAAAAATATGCCTCATTAACTCTGAATGCTACAGGTCAGTGTTATCTGAGATATTTCTCATTTGAGATTCATTGTGAAGAGTCTCCTTCTTAATGGCAGAACGTGCCATTTTCCCCCTATTTATTCTAACCCTGAATAGCAGAAAGTACACTTTGCAGCAGTACACGCCAACTTAGCAATAAGATTGTAGAGTATTAATTAAATGTTGCAACCAAGTTACAACATAAATTTGTGAAAGTGTCTGTTATCAAATATTTTTGTCTTTGTGATTTCTTCAAAAAGCATTGGGTGAAGTGCTATAATATCAAGAAATAGTCTCAATTATTCTTACTGCTAAGGAGATATATTAATATGTTTGATAAACTGTTTATCAATGGGCAATTTTATTTCTTTCTTGTTGTACCTTTTAAAACTTTCTTAAGATACTGATGGAAAAACCTTTTTAAAAGATTTTTTTTAAAGTTTCTATTTGTTTTATATATTCCAAGTTAGCCATGAAATCAAATTTGTTACGCTCTGGGAATGGCCCCATCATACCCTGAGTTACTAAACACACACACACACACATTTTCCACCCCTTCGTATTTCAGGGAACCAGAGAGAGGAAAAGCTGGCATGTAATGGCAATCTTGTTGACTACATCCTTAAGCTTTATTCTATCAATAGCTCCAAGTATGAGCTTATGAAGCATTATGATTTCAAACCATCTTTTTTTGCCTTTGTCTCTTATTCACCTTCTTCCCTCTCAGTTCCTCACTTTCCTGTTTCTTATGCCTAGATACTTTGAGGCATTGAAAGGCTTAATTTTAAGTTTAAAGAAAACTATATAAAAATAACTATTCCTGCTTTCCTGGTATAAGACCAAACACATGGGTTGCTGCATTCAAACAGTTCTACTTTTCAATGTATTAGCATATTTAAGCCATTAAGATCCTGGCTACACAGTACTGTAAGTTATGGCATTGGTTTAACATTAACTGATGATGCAAATCTATATGTGTTCTGCATGGAATAAGAAACCACAGCAGATTCCATTAATCTTCCAGGAAACTTTCTCCAATTCTCTACGGGAAATATGAATATCAAATATTTGAACATAAGTTAAGAAATGTCTAGGTTTATCACACCTATAATCATTCCAGTATTCTTTTACAAAGAAATATTAATATCTCTCTTTTTTATCTTTTTTAATTAGAAGTACTGGATAGGAGAACTGCCTCATTGTTATCAAGCCAAAGCATGAAATCAGGTATTTATGTAACACCAATCCATGTTTAAATAAATGTTTTGTTTTAGAAATACTTTGACATTGTTGACAATATCAGTTTTTATCATTATGTTTAAATAGTGAAATATATTATCTGACATTCTAATGTAACATATTTACTGATTAATATACACTAGTTCAACCAATTTGAACATTCTTTCCATAATGCTATTTTTTTTATTTGTTTTAGAAGGTCTATGGAAGATATCTTGCACTACATGCCGTGAAGATTCATCAAAAGCATTTGAGGAGTCTTGGGAAAATATTACTAAATTGATTTGGGTGTTCTATGGAAATAGTGGCAAATCTGAACCAATTTCCTTGATGAGCAAAACAGGAATTCAAGCTGATGACAAATTAACATTTGATGTAAAATAAATATGTATTCCATATTATCTTTCCCATGAACATGTACATTGTTTGTAGAGAGATGAAACATACAGTAGCTTTTCAATTTAATCAAGAAATCTTTCCACCTTAGTCTTACCACCAAGACAGAGTGAAGCAACTGCCTCACAAAACAGGATCTAGAGAGTTCACAACAACAGTGGCAATCTCTCACTCATTCCGTTAAAGCTCCTATCCTATGGCTGATAAGCTATGGTATTGTCTATTTGAATCTTGCTTTATGCAAAAAGAAAAAGAAAAAAAGAACCAGTCCTGAATTTTTTATTCTTTTTGATTTTGTTGATTATTTTATAAAATGTCACTTAACATCACTTTCGGCATATTATAACAAACATATTTTTAAAAGACCAGGAAATACAAAATAATACTAATGTGTATTATCATATGAATATCAACTATTTGCATTAACACATCATTTTCTTTATTTATCAATCCATGCTTTTTAAAAAAGGAGATGTGGACTTAGAAAATAAGATTTTTTGAACTCTCCATTTTAGTTTGTGGGATCAGCAGGAATGGACAATGCCTAAGAAAATATCATTTCAAAATATTATTTAATGTCATGTTAATCACAATGGAAGACTACTTATTCTGCTGTTCTCTTTTAGGTATATTTCCCATCTGATCTAGGAACACTTTATAAAGTGAAGATTGGAGTTCAACACTTTGGAGAAAGAATCTGGCAATTGTTTCATCATTGCAAAATCCAGAACACTATAACCCTGGATACTTTTAGTCTCTCATTAAATGAAACATTTCCTCTTCTTAATGGAGACCAGTGGCTTGAGTTCCCTATTGAATGGCCATTGAGGAAAGTTCTTTCTGGTATGTATCATTTGTCCACTATGGCATTTGTCCACTATGTACTCCAGAAATCACAGCTTAAATGCTTATCAAGGAGATCTATCTTAATTTCCTTTAATTAACTACACCATAAAATGACAAGGCCTCTATATATTGAAAACAAATTACTATTTTCAGGTAAACATTTTAAGGTTAAACCTTCCATTAGATTAGTTTGTGTGTCAGAAACTGTTTACTGACAGACACCCATACTACAGAGGAAAGAGAGGTATAATTGTTTTCATTGTATTGTAGTGTAAAGGTCTAGGGCACACTGTACTGATAAAGGGATGCGGTTCAAAAGCATGTAAAAATGCAAGTAGAAAAATAGGGACCACTTCCACATGCCAACGGAGACATCTTTGGACAGCGCTGGCTCTTTGGCTTTGTAATAGAGATGAACACCATCCACTAGATCGTAAACGACAAGCACATATGTGCGAGGGGAATCTTTACCTTTCCTACTGATAGCGATGAGAATGTGTATTTTTGCAAGATATATTGGTTCCTGTGCATTACTTAAACAAGAATCTTGTGCCATAGCCTGTGAGAGTTGTGTTCCCTTCACTTTTGTGAAGAAAGACTTGGAACAGTCCTCAACTTCCATTATTGATACTTGCTACTATTTGTAGAGGTGCCATCGTAATATCCAGCAAATATTCAGATGGTCCAGAATGCAGTGGCCCACACAGTTTATTGCAAGCCTAGAGTTGTGTATGTGTCACCTCTTTTGTGGGAGCTGCCCTGGCTGCCAATCTTCTTCCAGATACAAGTCAAGGTATTGGTTATTGCTTTTAATGCCCTATATGGCTTGGGACCAGTTTATTTGGAGGATCACTTTTCTCCAGTATACCCATCCAGCCCACAAGGAGAAAAAGGGAAGATATGTTGTTAGCTAATTCTGTTAGAGAAGTACTTGTGGTGGGACCACAAAAAAGAGCCTTCTTGGTGGTAGTCCCTTCTCTATAGAACATCATTCCTCCAGAAGAATGATTGGCTGCTATCTTTGTTGCTTTTCCAAAATGCCCAGAAGACATGGTTGTAGGTTGTTTGTAGTAGGCTCTCACTTCATTTAATACATAAGGACATATTCCATGATATGTCCATATTGCCACTGCAAATCAATGAAATGCTGGTAAAAAGCCAGTTATCAGCTGTATATAGACTGATAATTGTAATAAAAGCAGTGTAAAGACATTCCAACTTGTAAATAGCAGATTCTTTTTTTCTTCTCCATACATTTATGAGATTATATCTATAACGATATACAGTGTATATACATGTATTCAACAGTGTTACTGTATTTCATATGAAATGATACCCATGTGAAAACATATCTATCAAATAATGACAGAAATGGATCTAAGTCACAGACTGGAAATTTGCCACGTACTAGTTATAAAATCTGTTCATGTTGCTTTTTATGGTGAATGTATATGTAATATTAAATTATCAGACTGGGAATTAGATGTAAACATTGGTGTGGTGTTTTGGAAAAAAATAAGTAGTAATGTATGCATATATAAGCATTTGCTTATATTTCTGAAGAATGAAAATTATTGCTATTGAATTCAAATATTTTATTAAATTACCTTAGTCAAGTTAAATTAAATGCTACATATTTTATGTAACTGAACTGAAAATGACTCAAAATAATTTAATACATGGCTGATAAGTATCCTTTGTTTAAATACAATATATTTCTTTTTTCTAGTATTTCACCAGTAATATTAAACTGTATAATCTGGTTTACACCTATTTAACCTATTTAATTGGTGCAACCAGTAACATGTCTTACATGTGAATATTAGTAGCCAGTTGTATAAGCTTGTTGAATTAGTGTGCTTGATTCAAGCTAATTCTGTTTCATTGAATTCAGTGCGATCGGATCAGCTTAATACTTTTGTAGCTGTTGATTTCTGAATGTTACTGCTTGGTCTATTTATCATTGTAATGCTTATTCCCTCAATATAGCTTTGTGTTTCTAGTTTTCCAGCTAATCAGCCATCTGCGATTTAGTTCCTACAGACAGTAAAAACATTGTCCAGATGTTGGCAAAGAGTTATTTTCTCAAGAAACCACTTAGTTTATTATTATTAATACCAGAGAGCCCATTTGGTTGAGTGGCTGCAATACTGTAGATTTATACTTATTGGTGAAGGACTGCAAGACTATAAAACAGACTGGATAGATTTATTTAACTTTAGTGGTGAAATATATACCGAGCTACCTTTTCTACCTTCCATTCAGGCTTAAAATATACAAATACAGTTGACATAAAACTAGAAAGACTAACCAACACTAATAAAACAATCAGAATAAAAGGGTTTTGAACAGGCTGAATTGCTTGCATCAAAATAAATATAATAAAATTCTGCATGCTAATTCTAAAATTTGCTTATATAGCAAAGAAACCTAGTCGTAAGTATAAAATTGAAGTAATCTATGTGGTATCCATGGTCTAAGTAACTTAGATCAATCTCTTACCATGTCATCCCAGGTAACTACTGGGGTATAGAATTGCTCCAATCAAATGAAACAGCTCTGTAGGTCTGGCTTTTTCAGGCACATGTGCCTTCACAATGGCTATGCAAGTTCAGGTTACCTTCAGATTGGATTCAAACTTTATTCTATGTTGTGCCTTCAGCTATAGGCAGTCCTTGACTTAGGACCGTAATTGGGATGAGAATTTCCATTACTAAGCAAAGTGGCTGTTAAGTCAATCACATCTGATTTTATGATTCTTCTGTCATAGTAGTTAAGCAAATTGCTACCACTGTTAAGTGAATCATGCAGCCATTATTTATTTATTTATACTGCACATGTTTGAGGTGCCTATTACTCTCAGATAGGGACTTTGGATGGTGTACAATAAAATATCAACATATAACAATTTAAATGTTAAAGTTAACATTTAAAAATTTTTAAATTTATTTTTTTTAAAAAAATAAAAAATTATAAAAGAATAAAAAATTTAAAAATTATAAAAAAATTAATAAAAAAGTATAAAATTTAAAAATTTAAAAATTATAAAAATATAAATTATAAAAAATTAAAATTATATAAATTATAAAAAAAGGAGGCAGGAATAATTAAATCCTATTAAAAATTAGTTGACAAAGGCAAACAGAGGGCTCTCATGGCACCAACCAACCCCATGACTGTGTGCAGATCCATTAAGCAAATCCAACTTCCTCCATTGACTTTGTCAGAAGCTGCTGGGAAGGTCACAAATGGCAGTCACACAACCCTAGGATGCTGCAAAACTGTCATAAAAACATGCCAGTTGCCAAGCATCTGAATTTTGAACATGTGACTGTGGCAATGCTGTGATGGTTGTATAAGTGTCAGGACTGGTTGTAAGTAACTTTTTTTTCAGTGATGTTGCAACTTCAAATAAATAGTTGTAAGCTGATGACTCCCTTTTCTGTAGGCAGTGCAGAACATGATAACACAATTGGTCCAAAGGTTCCCAGTATTCTCTTCTCTCGTCCTTATGCTTCAGGAGCTTCATTAGTTGTCTGTGGCCTCAAGGGTGCCTTTCATGATTTTACTAATGATATATAAAGGCCTTTATGGTTGAAGTCTGCTTACCTTACAGAACATTTCAAACCTATTTCCTTCCCCAAATAGACATAATCACAAAGGAAGAAATGCTCTGGTCATTCTATGTTCCTGGCTAGAGTATGCAGAAACTAGGGTCTTCTTGGTGGATTGTTTTAGATTACAGATGGTCCTTGACTTACAACAGTTCATTTAATGACTTTTCAAAGGCACTGAAAAAGGTGATTTACGATGGTTTTCACACTTACAACTGTTGAAGCAGCCCCATGGTTACATGATCAAAATTCAGATGCAAATTCATATTTATGACGGTTGCAACGTCCCGGGGCCATGGGATCATCTCTTGCGACCTTCTGACAAGCAAAGTCAATGGGGAAGCCAGATTCACTTAACAACCATGTTACTAACTTAACAATTGCAATGATTCACTTAATAAGAGTGGCAAGGAAAGTCATAAAATGGGGCAAACTCATTTAACAAATCTTTCACTTAGCAACATAAATTTTGGGCTAAATTGTGGTGGTATTGGGCAGGAATTCTTTCCTGCTGAAAGTGGTCAACCTCTGCTAGTTAGATACAATATCCAAAATAAATATTTGAACTGATTAACAGAAAAAGGTGGTTGCTACAGCAAATGCACCTTCAAATTACATTATCAGAAATGTAGAAACCAGATTATGAGGAGTAATTGGTTAACTGCACAAAGCATTGAGCCCAGTTTTGATTGTCATATTTTAAGAAAAGTTTTGACAAAGATAGCTTTCCAAAGAGGAGTGACCTGGTAAGTTAGATTGCTGGGGCGGGTGGGGGGAAGGCCTATGAAGTACAGTAAAAATATCCAGTTTCACCATGGTAAAAAGGAGTGGTTCAAGCAACCTTTGAATCTCACTTCACCTTCAAAAACAGGATGTCGCAGAGAAAATAGAATGTGATTTCTCTAAGCCCTGACTATATTTGGCCCCTCAGGACTTGAATCCTGATGCCAATCCATTAAAGTATTGATTCTGTTTCTGTGTTATCTGGATCATTCATTTGACATACTACTTACTCCACAAACCTACCCTAACATTATTTTTACTCAATATTTCGATTGCTCCAAATTTTTCAATGATCATTTTGCATAATTGCAATTTTCATGTACTGAGTAAAGTGTGCTTCACATTTGGAATACAAAATCCTTTGATTGTGGGAATGGTTCAATATTTGGCTTGGTAGATGACAAAATGAGAAATCTGGATGGATTACTGGATCAAATAGACTGAAGTATCTGCTTTAACAATGCTTTCATCAGTGCTAAAAAGAGAGAAAAAGCACTTCAGGAATATAAAAATATTCAGTATGTGTTTTTAGTTATATCACTTGCTTACTAATGATGAATTCATGCAGAAAAAATATTGCATCATGTAAATACTGGCAGATAGCAGGAAAGGTTATTAAAGTAACGAATTGTGCAATGATGATGCCATCTGTTACATCAGATTTGACATTTGTTTTTAATTTACAGTGATTACATATGATATAAAAATATTCTGCAGTGATACTGTAAGCAAAATAAGCGTGGTGCCTATCTTTCTGTATATATATGGAACCAATGGAGATACTGAAGAACGAAGACTTTTATTGTCACCATCATCTACAATCAAGAAAGAAGAAGTTGGTGAGGTAATTTACTATTACCTGAAAATACAGATTAAAATATATTTCAATTCCAAATGTGTGTATGTGCATATTTTAGATTAGATTAGATTAGCCTTTAAGCCAGTGTTGACACCTGGTGATTGTCTGCAGTAATCCCTCCAGTTTTCTTGGCAAAGTTTTTCTGAAATGGTTTACTATTGCTTGCTTTCTAAGAGTAAGAGACAGTGACTGGCCTAAGATCATCTTGTTGACTTTGAGCATAAAGCTCAAAGCAGGACAAGAATTTATGGTCCTCTGCAGAGGTGATATTCATCAGGTTCTGAGCAGTTCTGAAGAACTAGTAGTGAAAATTTTGAGTAGTTTGGAAAACCGGCAAATACCACCTCTGACTACCCCCACCCCCATCTATTCTCTGCCTCCTGAGTCCCAGCTGATCAGCTGGGTCTTCTTTTGTTGCCCTGCATAGGAGAATGGAGCTGGAAAGCAGGTTAATGGAGTGGGGAGGGAATGGAGATTGTACAGTATATTTTCCCTGCCATGCCCACCAAGCCACGCCATGCCCACTAAGCCACGCCCACAGAACCAGTAGTAAAAAAAATTGAATCCCACCACTGGTCCTCTGATATCTAACTTGACACCTTATTCCAGTGGTGTCAAACCCGCAACAACAGATTGTCATTACGTGATGTATTGCAACTTTTTTCCTCCTCGCTAAACTGGGGTTGGGCATGGCCAGCACATGATGGACCATGAGTTTGACACCCCTGCCTTAGCCACTTCACCAAACTGGAGATGATAGATAGATAGATAGATAGATAGATAGATAGATAGATAGATGATAGATAGATAGATAGATAGATAGATAATAGATAGACAGACAGATAGATAGATGATGGATGCATAATAGACAGACAGACAGAGACAAGCAGATTACACACACACATACATACATATATGCATACACACATACCTATTGAATATATCATAATTTTCTGCCTTATTGAAATATCTTCTTATATGTTTAGCTGTTTACAGGTCACATAGATGCTGTGGATTTGGGAAAATTGCACAAAATTGTCCTTCTCATTGGAAGCACATTGTGTAAGTTGTTTTCACTACAAAAAAATTGATAAGATAATCTTTCAGTTTAACATTGAAGCTGTAATAATAAGTAGTATATAGTTTAAATAGTTTAAAAATAGGAAACAGCATTATGCTGAGTAAGATCATTGTTCCATCTAGAACAATATAATTCATAGTGACAGACAGCAATTGTTAACAGTTTCAAGCAGTTCCCCCAGTTTAATTTAGAAATGCCAGGAACTGAGTCTCAAACATTCTGGAAATGTAGACTCCACGTTCTGTTACTGAACTTAGAGGAAATGTATTTTTAATGACCTTTATTTGAAAATAAATCCTACAGACCTCTCCTTTTATCTGTAGTAAGTATGGCAGTTGCAGTAGGTATCATAATGATAGCTGCAGACACTATGGATATATTAAATAGAAAAGCTCTCAAGTTTTGTGATTTAAGTGCAGCTACTTCAGATTTAAGAAGGGATAGACTTGTAAAGCTATTATTTACAGATACTTCATACAATTTGATAGTAGTGTTGGCATGAAAAAATGTTTTAATTATCTATTGCTTCTAATGCAGCCTGCAAATTGGCAATTAAAGCCTTGCACTTAAAGGAAAATTTAAAACAAGAGCCTGTGTACATATTTGAAGTGAACGAGTGAGTATGAAAAATATGAATCACCAGGGGCAAATTTGGGGTATTAAGACTTTTTGGAAAAGTTTAACCAGCATGAGTAAAACAAACTATCCTTCTTCCAATAGCTATCTTATCCCTTGTTCTACTGCCCACTGTTGGCAGTTAGAGAAATGGTTCCATCCTTAACAGCTGTTACAATGATAGTTCTCAGCCAGGAGACCTTGTCAAAACTCACACCTGTGAGAGTGGGAAAGTCATGAACTTCATATTACCATTCAGAAAGAACATTCAGAGACATCATATTAACATTAATTATATTCTTCTTATATTATGGGTATTTTTTAAATGTGTGGCTTCAAGTCCTGGTGATTGCCCTGCAATTTTCTTGCCAGTATTTTCACAACTTTATCCCAGAACTGAAAGAGACTAACTGGCCCACAGTCATCTGCTGGCTTTGTGTCTAAATTAGTAGTAGAACTCATGATCTTTGAGTTTATAATCTAGTATTTCTCAACCTTAACAACCTGGATTTCATAACTCAGAACTTTCCAGTCAGTGTGTTGATTGAAGAATTCTTGGGGTTGCAGTCTGCACACCTTGAAGTTACCAGGGTTAAGAAAGGTGCATTAGACAAAACTGGATCTCAAGAAAAAGAATATTATAAAAAAAACATTTGTTTCTCCTTTATTAAATGCCATATCAAATTCTGTACATAGCTTGTCTTTTAAAAATTATTTCTAGAACATTCCATCTGGACATTGATAAACCTGAAATAAGGAAAGAAATCCCTCTCTCTTTGGTTACTAAGGAAGATAATGGATCAGAATATATTATTAAAGTGTATACTGGTGATAAAAGAGGGTCAGGAACTGATGCCAATGTTCATATCATTTTGTTTGGAGACATGGATACCTCTCCTTTAATTCAGCTCAAAAACTCTCTCGATCATCGAGATCCCTTTGAAAGAGGAAAGGTAAGTAACATTGCCCATGTGAACCTATCTTTTTTAAAAAAATTGGTCATATCAAATATTACAAATTTGATATAATCTGGCACAACCAAATTTAGAACTATACAGATAGTGAAGGGAGAACTCTCCTTCGGATGAGGCTTGTCCAGCACATTGCCTTTAGAATTCCCATTCATTCTTTGCAAACTTGATGTGAAGATTAAAACAGAGAAGTGGGAGAGAGAAAAGAACTGGAGGAGTTTCATTTTAGGGAGCAATTCATCTTCCAGTTTCTTCCAATGGACAGCAGAAGGGGAAATAACTTTTTTTGATCAGTCTTAGGTACACAAAATGCTGAATTAAGTGAATAGACTATACTAAACCATAGTTTCCCTATTGTATTTAAAGCTGTTTTCAATTGAAGTTTATCTTGGTGCTAAGCATTCTGGGTTTTTGACATCAAACTGGACTTAATCACAGTACAACTTGGTATACTCTGCAAATCTAGTTAACGAAGCAAATATGAATATGGCAACTTTTTCTTTGGTGGGATTAATTGCCATTGGCTGTTAAATGTATGCTTATTGTAAACAGAGTGTCCTATCATATAATAGGTATGAATAACATGTTCTATTCTGCTAGAGAAAAAGATTCCAGAAGCTACTTAACTTTCCTTTATCCCTCTGACCCTGAACAAATTCATTTTTGTCTTTAGAGAATTAACTTAACATGAAAGAACCAGTTTTGTAGAGGTCAAAATGTTGTTCCCTTGGGGAAAAAATCCAGCATTGACAAAAAATAACACTGGAAATGAAAAAACTTTTAAAAACCAAATTAGTAGGCTAGTTGAAAGATTTTATCATAGAGTCAAATAATTTCTCTTTATGTCTTCAAAGGAAAGTTTATCATTAAAAGGGTATGTAAATGTAAAACACAAGGTGTTTTTTTTCAAACTAGCTGGAAGTTCATTATTTTTAAAATTATTTTCTGACAATATTAAGAAGTACATGTCTTACAAATGTGTAATAAATGAAATAAAGAAATTGGGATGTGCTTCTTTTATGTTTTAAAAATGGAAAGAATTGCAGCATGGAATTTCAACCAAGATGATCATTAATCAAGATATGGTATTTCTCATACCACCTACAGTGTATAATCTATATCTATATCATCTACACACATACACATATTTTAAGCAAGTTCCATAGCTGATCCAAATAATGGTACCCACTCTAGAACAATTTATTAATTAAATTTGCATGCTGCCCATTTAAGGTGATACTGAGTTTGGAGGAAGAAAGTGATGGTGAAACCTGTGATACCTCAGGATTTTGCTACATTTTAAAATCTTTTTGGAGTGGAATAATAAAGAAAGCTGAAGAGAGATCTGAATTTGAAGGGCAGAATGTGACAGAAGCTATTGAGCCCTCCTTAGTTTGCTTTAGAATCCAGGAAGTCACCTTTGGTTTAAGATGTTCCCAAGAGGTGCTATTTGTGGGTGCCTCTACATACTGTGGGCATCTACACACAGTGCAAATAGCATTTTCTTTTGCAAATCCAGATTGCTGCAGATTTCCTGTTGCTATTTATTCATCTGACTAATGAAGCTGAATATATCTGTTATTGTGACAAGAAGCAAATCTGTTTACAACTTTTTTTTCAATATCTATGAGAATTAAATTCTTGAACCAGCCATTTTTATGCAGTTCCTTAGGTGCCAGCAAAATATTCTTATTTTTCTTTTATTTTTAAACTTGGTTTATGAAGGCAGAGTGCTAGATTATTTTTCCTGTTCAGGTTTTTAATTCAAGCCTTTTTTAGTCGTGCATAGTTATTTACTTGGAATTTTGAAATGTGTTTGAAAAAAATATCAGAATCCTCTTATAGTATCTTTTTGGATTGGGCCAAAGCTACAGCTCCTTTTTTGGCTGGTTTTCCTTCTTGTTCAGGACCATGTGGTAGAAAAAATTCAGAGAGAGATAAAAATTACTGATCTAGCTTCTTATCTTCAGTAATGATAAAAAAATATCCTATATCTCCTTCACCTTGGTTTAATTCAGACTAGTTCTTGATCAAGAGAGAAGCCAAGGGATTGGCAAATTTACAGATATTTGGAAAATCTCCAGGTTACTTACTTACTTATTTGTTTGATTTGTCAATTGCTTACAAGATAATAGGTATAAGTATAAACATGAGTAAGATTGCAGGAAATAGGAACAAGTAAATGGGGACAGTAGGACAGGAACGGTAGACATGATTGTGCACTTATGCACTTACTTGGCACTTCTGGTTTCAGTTGCTTGTTCTTGGCAGAGGGACATGGAGCTTCATATGCAATGACTGTGGCATGTATTTTGCTGCAAAGTATTCAGCTGAACTATATTTAGGGAAGAATTCACACTACGTAAAGATAGCATTTTCCACAGTCTGACCTATCATAATTGAAAAGCTAATTCTATTTTTCATTTTAAAGTCTGATACATTCAAAATTAAGACAAAGAATATTGGAAGGCTGCAGAAGATTGAAATCGGACATGATGGGAAAGGGTTTGGTAAGTGCATTTGGATTACTTGACCAAATTGTGTTTCATAGGTGCTAAAACATCTGTACATGTAGCCTTCACTAATAATGCTTTTTTGGGACTGGAGTCTTTGTTAAGCAACATGGGTATAAGTAAAAAAAAATATGATGAGACACCACACTACATATATAAAATAAATCTACGTTATATTTTATCATTTATTGAATAAATCCACATTTGTTTCTGTTTAGTTTTAGAAAGCTTCATCTTTAATCCTTTCAAATAATGTCCCACAAGCTGATTTCTTATAGTTTTCTCTTTGTCTCCTCTCAGAAATTCCTTCACTATTTTAACATGTATTTTTTGAACATCCACGATAAAAAAGCTTTCCAAGCCATTCTTCTGATTGATTATTTGTATGTCTCCTTTAATTATTAAGACATCATCCAGTTTTGTTTGTAATTCCATTGTGGCATCTTTTTTCATATGTCTTATAGTCTGGCATTTTTAGATCTATTTGTAGATCACCCTTAGTCTATTTTGTCTAGTAAAATCTCCTCCTCTCTAGCCTCTGTAAAATCGGTTCTTATAGGTGCAAACAATCTTAAGACTAATTTTTGGACACATTGATCCAAAGTCACTTGATTGAGTGGTTATAAAAATTGAAGGAAGGAAGGAAGGAAGGAAGGAAGGAAGGAAGGAAGGAAGGAA